GACAAGGCACATCTTGAGAAAATGATCTAAATTCGGCGAGGCTGCATGGCGTAATCCTGTTAGAGACAGCGGGTGGCTGACGATACATCTGAGACGGCCAACTTGGTTAATCGTCTTCTCGTACATTTCCATGCAAGAACTGGTTAATACCAACCGTAGCATCTGACGGGACACGTTTAAATACAGGAAATAATTCGGCACGCGAACAGTCGCATAAGACAGCCGGGCCAATAAACCAAGAATTCCTAAAAAAGAGGCTAGTGGCTGACCCCTCATCGATCGTCACAATCTCCACACTCGATTCAGCATCCACTAACACACATTGACCGCCGTGAAACTGTCCTCTTTGCACTCTAATGTACAATGCCCTGTTGGTCGAACTCTGCCATCAGCAGACCTACCTGACTGCGAGATTACTGACTTTGAGATCACCCTGCCCTGTATGTCGCTCCACTTGAACAACAGAACAGGTAAAATAGAGGGATTGAGTGATTATTACAAAGCAAACTGTTATGAACTCATAACTGATATGAAAACTCGTGTCGCTGCTCTCTTCTATTGCTGGCTGTAGCTGAAGTACGATGATATACGCCTTGTGTCCGTTGTTTACCGGCCTCCCAAGCCCAATATGGAGACGGGCCACGATCTAATATCTGGTTTTCCTATTGTGATGAGTCGGAAGCGATTCCGTGTGCTCATTAAAATAGATGTCATGATCCATGATCTGGGAACTCCATCAACTGATGGTAAATAGTCAAAAGCCAGCGACGAAGTCGTCGGCCGGTGGCCGAGTGGTCTGCACGTTTGCTTTGCAACCATAAGGTCACCGGTTCGAATCCGCGTAGGGGTGGGCGTCCTCGCGTTATACTCAGCGCGCGCGAGACTGGTGGTGGTCGCGCGGCAGCGAAGCGCCGTTACGGCGTAAAGCCGACACATTATTACAACTGACATTAATATTACTGACGAAGTCATGGAAATTGCTTTATTATAAGACGTACAAGGCGTATAGCAGCTCCTAAATGATCGACTTCTTGACTTGAAATATGCCGCTGACAGTGTCCTATTGTTTGAGAACTCACGAACATCTCAAGCAGCATTTCACAAACTTGTGCTGCCTGTCAATCTTCGCGGACTTTGCGCCCTGAAAATGCTAAGTCCTCCAAAGATTGGAACCGTCCCACACATACGAAGGTCACTGGTGGTGCTAAGCTAGTAGTCGTCTAGACATTTAGGTACACAACTATTTATGCTAACGCCTGTGGAATAGAAGCTGAGATCGAGCGCTACAAAGCCTTAGCGTTGAACTGGTACAGCATGACTTCAAACACAACTTAACGAGATTCCTTGTGGCTGCTGAACATCGAATAATAGTATTGGATCGTGATCTGAACGTTAAATTTAGAACATTGTCCATTGATGAACTGCATCTTGAGAGCCAATGTGGTGAAGGACCTCTTAATGCTAACGGTGTAAGCATCAAATCACCTGAAAGTCTTGAGTGAACGCGTTTCCACGGAATCCAATAAAAGAAAACCGGAGTTGCAATACGACAATATGTATAACTAATTAAAAACAACAATGTACAATACCTCAAAAATCTGTGCTTCCGGCACAGGAGTAGCAAACAAGAACAAGAACAAGAACAACAACAACAGCAGCAACAGCAACAACAACAACAACAACAACAAATCCAAGGTGGCCAGCAAGCTGAGCGACGTGTCCACGTAGAACAAGCCCGTCCCAATGTAGTGTGCCTTAAACAGGCTTACACCTGACCAATTGGAAAGGGAGGTAACCATTAAACCTGAGCGTTTGGCCAGTAACTTACGCACACACACACACACACACACACCATGATAGTATAGTAAGTGTTGCAACTGCACACAGAGTAAAATTTACATTTGGCCTCACGGACATGGTGGTTTCATGTACGTGCACTCTACTCATATGATCTCGCAACATCATCAAGTCACATGCGATGTGAAGAATGTCTTGCTCGCCAGTATCCGAATACTACGGCGAGGGAGTTAAAACGGAAAATCACAAAACCGATAAAATGAAGCGAAGCCACGGAAAGCGACAATGATGTATGTTCCGAATTTGGAGACGTTGGTCAATGCATGCACGATCGAATGCAGGCCATCTACCTGTTTAACGTGTGTATAAACGTAATTAAGTTGGCACGGAACACAATCGCCATTGACAGTCAGATAATAGAGGTCGGTTAGGACAAGGAAAGGTGTTGGGTAAATGGTAATCACAACCAGGACCCAGAGTGCGGTAGGAAGGCAGCAGAAGATAAGACATTTGGGAATCTTCTACAAACAGTGAGCATTTGTTTCATCTGTGAGAAGTTTCCCGTATATATTTCATGAAAACTACTGACACATCACTCTGGCTGACGTGGGACCCACCAGTCTCGTAGCAGTCATAGTTGCAAATCGATTGCATCGTGACCGGTTACTGTTGGAGAGTCTGGGTCCAAAACTGTTGCTCAATTTAATGCACCAGCATTAACGAACCACGCATCAGTATTTGCCGATCTCTGGGTGGTTTTCGATGACATTTGCGACGAAGCTATAAACGAATGGATACCAGCCAACTGGCTAAATCATACAGGGAGCGCATCGCACCCGGATAAGATTGTAGTGCAGTTGCAATATGCTGCCACCGCACAGGAATCAGAGACGTGATTCCACACATGTTCCCGATCCACCCACGATGGACTAAAACATCTTTTTCCTACCCGCTCTCTATTCTCATTCAGTTCTTGATGCGTATCACCATGCGCTGGCATCCGAGCTGAGTAAACGCTCACTGAAAACAGTTGCAAATCCGTGGTCACAAGTTTGCTAGATATTTGTTATCAATACGTTTGGCCATTGCGTTCCTACGCATTAAATGGAACTTCTCGAAATTCTCGCCGACGCATATCGGTTTAGTGCGATTATACCGGACGCGCAAAATTCTCATGGCTATACTGCGAGCTGATGGCTGTTGGCTGATAATTTTATGGTGAAATTAGCGAACACCAAATAACAAATGTAGGTAAATACCTTTGAATGTTACCATCGTTGCAGAATGAGATATTTATATGCAAGAAATCGGATGCATAACCCAGCTGCAACTTGTGTACCCTTTCTGTTGAATACTGTCTCTTGAATACGTCAGGTTCTAACAATGTGATACCAACTCTCCTAGTCGGATGAACGAACGAAACTCAGAATTATTTTCTCGCGCAGCACGGTAACTAACAATCTCGAAGTCTGCGGGTTCTCGGAACTTAGCCGCGGAAGATTAATTCACGCTAGTCGTACGGGTTCCTAGACCGAACGCAAAGTTTCTACGCGCGATTTCCCAACCCAAGACTGAATCAAGAACAAGACAGGCCTTTTGCCACAGGCGCTTTTACTGGCCAAAGCTAAGGCGATTCTGGCGTTGTACAGCCTCATTTTTATATCACGAAACGGTGATGAAAGGGGGGTTTTCCCTTGGAAAGGTTTGCGTAAGCAAACTCTGGAAGCAAGAAATATGGTTTTATGTAAATATGCAAAGTTCGTAAACTGAGCAGGAACGTTGGAAGTTTGGCGAGAGTTGTTCGGAAAAATAAATGCTGCTTGAATACAACAATGTGTGTTTGGTTGGAAACGAGATTGTTTCTGGGTCCAAAGGCTAAACGAATGTGAATGTTTCACGAGTTGGAAGGCTGATTGAACGTGTGCGTTTTGTCTGCTCCGAGTACATGTGCACTTGTGTGAATCGGGTTTTCAGCCTTCCGTAATTTAATCCTGTAATAATTATAGGGACGTTGGGTCGCCATAACACTTTCCGAAGTTTTGTTACGTTCATATACCTGCAAATCAGAGGATGTTTTAACTTTGCACATTTGCGCTAGAGCATACCAGAATGGTTCTCTAAAGTTTTGCCTGAAATTGGCGCAACCATTATTGGTTTGTGGTACTGTCCATCTTTTAAATTGCTTATCATTTGATGTTGTGGCCTGCCGTTTTCTACGAGAAGAAACCACTGTTAATTTAACAAATATTGAGAAATAAAAGTAAACCATACCTCATGGATATTCTGTTTGATCTATCACCTGGAATGGAAAAGTTTACGCCTGCGTATTCTTGTGGCAGCTGGCATTCGGTTGGTTTTACCTCCTTTAGTTTCCCTGAAATAATTGATCCAAACTCTGTAGTTGTCTTGGTCAGCAAAATGGAACACACTTAAGCCATTTGCACTAGATTGAAAATGCAATGGCCTTAGCTTAGATTGGCATTTGTTTTAGTAACCTGGCCAGCGCGTGATATGTTTCATTAAAGTTAGTCCGATCAACTGTAACCCATACTGCTGATTGTTTGCTATGGTTTTACGAGTCTGAGGAGGAATTACTAAAAATAATTACACCCATGTTCTCGATGTTGCTTGCTAGCATGAGGAGTGACCATGAAACCTAGTGGCCTCGTCTTGGATCGGAGAAGGAAACAATCGCTGCCCATGGTAACAATCCCATGGGACCTAGGGTTAGCCATGATGCCCACAGCCTGTCAAAACGCTTGAGACGTTGGCAGAGCAGTTTACTGACATGTTGATGTAAGCTCAGAACTTGTCAAGCATCCAAGTTCTTTAAATTGCGCTTCGTCGCCATGGACCGGCCGTAACCATATAATACCTTTGCACCTTCAACATTACCATGTTAATATTGAGTTTTGAGCAATTTCAAATACATGCTGTCTTTAATCAACGAATTAACTAACTTAAAAGTTGGTTAAGCGTCTGATCCGAAAGAGGTTTATTAGTTTTTTTCAAATTTGATACCCCAGTATTTAGCTTATTCGTCGGTTATATTTTAAGAGCGTAATTGTGCGATAAGCATCGTGTCTTAATCGACCCCCCAGCAGTTCGACACTTTTTGTTAACCTAATCATTCTGAAACGCGCTACTACATTCTTATTAGTAGTATAAACGTAATTCTTTTCCATCTCACCCCCTTTCACCAGCCGATATGAATTCGGTGCTCAAAACTTCTAAGGATAATCGGAAGGCCGCCGTCTATTGTGGGCTATATTTGGATAAACACGCGGACTTGTTTCATAAGATGGATCCTGGCTTCCGTCACACGAAAAGCGATCTGTGATTGAGGTTGCATGAAAACGATGAAGGACGTGGAGCGGAAATTTTATCGTGTGCCTGGCCATTTGCTCACTGACCGCTTAGAACATTTTCCGTGTTTGCCAAACAAAAGTTTTCCTGAAGTTACTCGAATACGTCACGTCAGAATCTCTACGTCAAATTGTTCTATTCTGGTACCATTCTATTCTATTATACTTTATATTATGTTCTATTAAGCCCTACCATAAAGATGCAGGATGTTTCCGTGTTTAGTTTCCGTTCTTTCGACCAATGTATGTTTGTTTCCTCACCATTATTTATTTTTCAAATCAATCTTTCAGAAAATTAGTTTTTTTCTATTCAATTTGGTGTGATAGTGTACCTAATCGACCGTCTGTTATTACCTACGAGAATGTTGCGTTTGCGTTTGTAGCAAAACGTCTTAGGCAGTACTCACTTGCATGTTGGCGGACAATAATTCCCCATTGCAGAGTACAGATTTGCTACGCACTCGCATGGTTTGAAGAATCAGTTGAAGTAATACTAGCTTTCATTACGATTGTGAGTCGAAACGCTACAGACAGGCCTCAAAATATATGATCCATTAAAATAAATACAGTGTGGTGGCCATGGCAGAACAGCGGGACCCACAATGTAAGGTATTATAAAACATGAATTTACTTGTGCACATACAGTAGGCAGTCCAACCCTAAATCTACGAAGGCTGCCTACGATCAGCCACCGGTAGGTCCGCTTTGGATTCTAAGCACAAGGTACAGCTAACTCGATTGAAATTCCGTGGAAGTACTTTATCAAATAAACCCCGTTTCTCATGGGAACTTGTGTATCAGAATGTTTCAGTTGGCTACCAGATGTCGGAACTATGAAATAAATTCCAGCCAAGAGCAAATAACTGATGAATATGTCTTTTCCAGATTTATTCTCTAAAAATAATTCTATCTTTGACGTTTGCATGGAAAGTTGGATACTACTCACTTGGGAACCATTGTGGTGCACCGGCAATAAATACACTGAATGCCCCTACTTACAAGTTTCGAGGTTGCATTCAGTTTGACCTGCGCAGCCTTTTATTATGGATCCAGCAGCCAAATTTTTCTTCACCCTCAAGGCAACCACCTCTCCTAACGTACTGAGTTAGTTCCTGCGGTAGTGGACGCCATGTTTCAAATTTCACTCTGCAATGCTATGTATGTACTTTGATTTTCGTAACTGAGCCAGCGCTATATTGACAGCAGGAAAGACAAACCTTTGCACCAATGTATCTACCTAAATTGTCGTGCTAACTACATCATGTCCAGTCAGCCTATCACTGGGGCCCGACAGAGTGTTCGATCTGTCCGTAGACCTACACTGTCTCCACTAGTCAAGGCTACCGTCGTAGTACACGAGATTGAAATTTGCTAACTTCTAACTATGACTCAAAAGTTGGCCAATAAAAGCCAAGTGAAGTGATAGGTGCTCATACTCTTCCTGGAAACTTGTGCAACGCGTAGAAATTCGACTTATGGTGGGACAGTGAGAGAAGATCCGATGAAATTATTCAATCATTCTAGTAGACTGTTTAGTGTAGAATGACAGAGATGTGTGCCTATGAAACACGATGTGGTTAGCAGACGCCTTATGCAAGTCACTCAATACTAACGAGCGGTTTCTTGACAAGCCGCATCGTAACAACTCCGAACTGGTGGGCATTCTAGGTACTACTTAGAATTTGGAAAGATAACTAACTTGCTTACCGTGGTATGGTGTACTTTCAGCTAAAAGTGGTTTTCCTTAAATGTATGGAATTGTTTACTAATAGTCAGACCTAACCAGCAGCACTTGATGCCCACGCGAGTGGTCCATCGAAATAACTGAGGTGACCTAAGTTCCAAAATCTCAACTAAAAGCAATCGCATTGTCTCCTCCGGACGTATTAAGGTTTGGGTAATGTGTTTATCGACAGATTTGTCTAAAGTATACTTTCAGATCCCCTTGACAGAAGCTTAACTGTTCTACTAATCCAAGTTCAGTGCACAGTTCGCAGGCTAACACTGAATGGTCTTTCCGCTAGGGATGTGCGTTGGAAGTGGTGCTGCATGCGAAAAGTATTGAAGCAACATTTTATATATAACATAACAGCGAGTTGTGGTATTTCAGCTACAACATGTCAGTCGTCTGGTATTGCAACTGAGAAACTCAAAACCGAGGAGTAATCCAAATCAAGATGTAGCGAATTGCCACATGTCCTATCCTCTGCTGCATTTCCACCACTCCCTGTCCCAACCGAATTCTACTATCTGAATGTCAATGGAGATTGTGTTCAGTGCCAACTTAATTACGTTTATATACACGTTAAACAGGTAGATGGCCTGCATTCGATGGTGCATGCATTGAGCAACGTCTCCAAATTCTGAACATACATCATTGTCGCTTCATGTCGCTTTGCCTCATTTTATCGTTTTTGCGATTTGCCGTTTTAACTCGCTCGCCGTAATATTCGGACATTGGCGAGCAAGACATTCTTCACATCGCATGTGACTTGATGATGTTGCGAGACCATATGAGTAGAGTGTACATACATGAAACTACCATGTCCGTGAGGCCAAATGTATGTGTGTGCGTAAGCTACTTGCCAAACGCTCAGGTTTCATGGTTACCTCCCTTTCCGATTGGTCAGGTGTAAGCCTGTTTAAGCCACACTACATTGGGACGGGCTTGTTCTACGTGGACATGTAGCTCAGCTTGCTGGCCAACGTGGATTGTTGTTGTTGTTGTTGTTGTTGTTGTTTGATACTCCTGTGCCGGAAGCACAGATTTTTGAGTTATTGTACATCGTTGTTTTATTTAGTTGTACATATTGTCGTATTGCAGCTCCGGTTTTCTTTAATTGGATTGCGTGGAAACACTTTCACTCAAGACTTCCTTACGAATTGTCGCTTCACAGTGCATTAGCATTAATATCCTTTTTAGGGACTTACACAAAATATTTATTACTTTTCCTTACTCTGTGGATGATGCGCAGGATTTGAAGTGTTTTAAGGATCATTTATACCAGTTTAAGTATGAAGCAACTTCAGATGTGTAATATCTTTTCTTATGATATTTTAACTGTATATATATAGGACGACATTTACTTCTTTCCGTAGGGTTCAACAGTTAAATAGGAGAAGTTCTTCGTTTTGTTTGTAAGTTCCGTTTTCTCGGATAAAACAACTAACTAAACACGCGTTAAAAGTATGCTTTTAACCAATGGCTATGCAAGAAAGATACGTGTTTATGCAAGTATATGCTAATTTTACTACGAATCATTTGAATTTGCATAAACTATGGACATATCTTTTTTGGACCTATGCTGATGCTACTCACCGCAACGCGCCACGTATATTTAGTATCCCGCTCTCGGTCGCATCTCGGTAGTGGCCACCCCAATCAACCGAATAATGATGGATTTTAATCCAGAGCCTACGCCAAAGTTCTGTCCAACTATCTAATGGTTACACCCACCACTCAAAATTATTTCTTGCCAAGGGTCATCATCCTTTTCAGCAAGTGGATTGATTTTGGCAGCAAACTTTTAAACAAAATTCAGCTTTGCAACTCAAGTCATACCACCAAATAACAATTCTTATTCCGTACATAGAAGATACCGAAGTGATGGGAAGCAGCAGCCTCCACTACTCATTGCTGTTTGGTTATGTCGTCGGTTTTCCCCTAGATCCAGGATGCCCGCTAACAGTAATCCCTCTTCCTTTCGAACAAGTTAGCACACCAAAGAGGCGAGACTAGTTCAGCTCTGATTTCAGCTCAATATATCAGCCTATTTGAAGAATCTCAATAAAGACTGTTAGTCACTTGGCTATTAGCCCTTTAATGCCCATGGTTTAATCCTTTTGCTATTAGCGCAACACTATAACTAATCCTTGAAGACTGAACTAGCTTCACCACGGTTGAAAGTTGTGGGGGCAAACTTAAACCATTTACTGCCTTGAACCTAATCGGGCTCGCACAATTTAACCTGCCTAGAAACGCTATCCGCCGACCACGGAGAAAACTAGGATATGCACGTCTGCTAAGGGTTAAATCTGTAGTAACATTGAACGATAGTCCGTCACTCCGGAATCACCACCAATGCCCATTTATTTTGAGCCAATCACTTCCATGCAGATACGCAGTTAACCGCCACGTAGGTCGAGGCAGGTATAGTCGATTGTACTATGACAGTTGCCATGAGAAAATACGGCTCTTTCTCTATTACCAGATGCCTTACAACTGAACGGTGAGAAAAGCCGCTTCTCAAAGGCATGGAATCTAGCTACAAGATGGTAAGGAGCTCCGAATGTCTTAAGGTTACTCGGTGAACGGCGGATATTTGTCGCTTTTGGCTTGCCACTAGGTTAACATCAATAGAAATTCAACACAGTTTGACTCAGTCAGACAGCCATCACACGCCCGAAAAAGCATGTACGGCCGTTTTATCCTTTCGTGAATCGTCAACACTGTGCAATTCATCTGACTTTTGCAGGGCTCAATCTCGCAACTTAACTGTTCCCAGTCTGTGGCTGAGACCACTGAGCTACGGAGACAGCAACGACCATCGTGACTAAATTAGTAGCTGTGCTATTGCATCACTCACTATCGACTGACTTGCATTGTACAGGTTGGAACCCTAGAAAGGTCAGATGGAATGCGCAAGGCTGACGATTCTCGAAAGCATAAAACGTCCGTACATGCTTTTTCGCGCGTGCTATGGCTGCCTGCCCGAGTTAAGATGTGATGAATTTCTACCTAGGGCATTAAACTCCCCCTGCTAGTCTTCAGTTTTCTAAGGTAACCCAAGCAGTTGGATGCCAAATCGATTGATAATGGTGCACTGACTGCTTTGCTATGTTCCTTAGGAAAAGCAACAGTTCGTAATTTTCCTTTATTCTTCCTAAAGTAGAGCACATAATGGTAGAATGAGTAAGCCAACAATTTGTCTAGTGGAAAAATATGCTTTCCAAGTTTCTAATCGCTTAAATAGGAAAACGTGACTATCCTTATACGGAGTTGCGCAACTTTATGAGTACCCATGGGAATACTGTGCGTCTAATGGGAATGGACCATTTAACACCAATATCTAAGACCCAAGG